ATTTTAGTTTTATTTTAGGCCTTCTTCAAAATACCTATGCCACAGCAGTTGATTTTTTTGCCGTAAAACCAAAATAGTTTTATCTATGCCGACTTGCCGATCGGTTAGCGTGAGCCCTGACTGAACTCTGCAGAAAATCCACATCGAACTTCGCATCGCGATTTAAAACAAAATGTCGGAAAACTTTTCTTTGACGCATGCGCATTTGCATATATGTCTACACACATACGCACACACATACTACACACAATGAAAAACAAAAGAAATGTGACAGAGTGATTACAATAGTTCCTATTGCATTACATGCATAGGTACTAAAAAGGGCAAATGAGCTTACGATTCATCATCTAACTATGCTTAGTTTAAAGAATCATGGGGAGGGGTACACAAAATTGCTGGGGGAGGGGAATGCGAAAATTGGGAAAGCGGAAATAAATCCCTATTCCAATGAAAATGTAATGGACATTTTTAGTATTTTAACACACTGGAACTAATTTGCCATCATGGGGGGGGGGATGGTGCGCATGCAAATTAAGCAAGTTTTGCCCGCTGACAAGGCTTTCCATACATTTTTGCATGCTGTATAAAATACACTGTTCCAGTTAAAGTGATTAATCATATGGATGGATGTGGAATGCTTCATTAAACTGAAATAACTTGTCTAAACACAACACCATCTCACTTCTTTGTGCGAAATGATCAATAATATATTATGACATAAATATTCATATTTCTGTCAACATTTAATATACTTTCAACAAAGGATAAGGCATATTGCAAAAGAGAATTGCATCTTACCTTTAGAATTTCATTAAATCCAAAATCCTCTTGGATCATTGTATCTTTTTCTGTATCTAAGATAGCCAGACACATGAGAAGGTGAAAGTTGTTACAGGGTAAGCCAGTCCACATCATCTACAATTAAACATTTATTAAGATTAATACTATTTTCTCTTTATTTTTATTATATATTAATTCAAATTTATTATATATTCAATGGTCAGTTATGTTTATTTTACAACAGTGTATAAAAAAGCAGTTGATGATAACAGTGATGACAATGTTGATGTCAATGATGATTGTGATAACAACGATGATGAAGATGAAAACGATGATGAAGACGATGATGACAGCAATGGATCATAATGGTGTGATGGTGATTATGATGACTGATGATTATGATTGATGATTTATGATGATTATGATTAATGATAACTGAAGATGATCATGATGATGATGAATAATGATGATTGATTGACAGGTTGGTGTTTGAGATTTTTGTTTGAAATGCTTGACCATAGACTGGTGCATGAAATGTAAATAAAAAATTAGCTTGTTTTGGGAGTACAATGTACCCCTCTTTTCCTCTCTCTTTTTCATACAAAGGGAGATGGTGGGGAACTCCCCTTAATCTACCTCTAGTGATTACAAGGCTTATTTGAGGGTATTATTTAACTACTTACAAACATCCTACAGTGGTCCGGTTACTGGCTACGGAGATAGTCCATAATTTATTTCTTTATTTTTATTTCCAGGTAATGACAAAATACGAACAGGGCAAATCAGTTAAAAGGACCTAGGATTACAAATGGGGTCAAGGAAGTCCAGTAGCGAACTTATTGTCTGTCTATATAATGAGTTGCAATGCATTTCACAAGAACAACATAAATATAATGTTCTGCATAAAACAAGTCAATGGCGGATTTTAGAGGGACCCAGTCGGCCCGGGGCCCCCTTAATGTTTTCAAAATTGTACAAAATTTGAGAAAAAGAATAAAATTACATTCAAATTTTCAGAATGAGAGTGCCATTTCCGGCCTTCTAGAGATGACATAATCGTAAATTTTCTTACCTTAGCCCCAACTATGGTGTGGCTGAGGTGGTATAAATTGGTTGTGAAAGGACTTGAGCCAAGGTCTATGGGATTGGAACTTGGAAGGCAAGTACTAACGTACAGCTCCATTTTTTTTTTTACCAAAGATGGCCTGGAGTGAAGTATACATGCAGAGTTCTTTTGCCAGGCTTAGGTATACATAACTATTCGTTTTTACACTATATTTATAGAGGGCGATCCTTCCAGCTTAGCTGATATTCAGAAGCACTCTTAAATAAACAACTACAAGTTCATGGATGTTTGCCTTGAGGAAATAAAAGAGGCAGTTTAAAAAAGACAGGGGAAACCCCTTATGGTTAAAAATTACTGACCACATGATAACTGTTTTTATAACTAGGATATTAACAGGTTGAAGAAACATACTTATGATCAGAGCGATGCACTTCCTAGGATTATATGGAAGGAAAAGAGGTGCAGATAAAGGAAGATGTTGGTTAAGCCAATAATATAATGCTCAAGGTTTTTACATTCAAGAGGAAACAGGGAAAGCTACCATGACCTTCCCAAGGTTTAATTCATTTATGTATTTCTGTTATTTTCTATAATGACGGTCATTGACCCATAAATGTCAATAAACAAATCAATTCATTAGTGCTATTAAGGAAAATGTACAGTATGTATGTACTTACAACAAAAGTATTAAATTCTACTAGAGAAATACATAGGAAAGGCCACTAAAATGATTATGTATAGAAATGATGAGATATTAAAAATTTAAATGTACAGGTTTATCGTAAAGGACATTATAATAACTTTCTTTCCAGTAGAATTATTGTCACTTAAGATCCAGCTGTTCATTTCACTTTAAAATAGGTAGTTTTCACCGCACGACGTTAACCTTAACGTTAGTATCAAACATGCAACGCGATAGCTCCGCCCCTTTTGTAAACAAATCGAAATATGCATGCGTAAACATGTAACTAACGTACGTCGAGCACGTAAAATCCTGAAATTAACGTGCTCCGCAATGCCAGATTATTTAATTATGACATCATCCATTAACGTTAAGGTTAACGTCATGCGGCGAAAACTACCTATTATCTAATTTTTTATGCACTTTAGTTAGAATTCATATTTATACTACTGGAAATATGGAAGAAAAACGTTGTCACATAAGAAGATACCCAGTGCTTTTCACTTTGTAATGTGACAATAATAACATAAGACATAACATACACCTGTACATTTTACTTTGTAATGTGACAATAATCCTTTTTTTTTTCCAGTAGAATTGTGACCACCATATGTATGTATATGTATGTATATATATATATGTATATGTATGTATATATATATATGTATATGTATGTATATATATATATATGTATATGTATGTATATATATATATATATATATATGTATATATATATATATGTATATATATATATAAAACAGTTTAAATAAAACTAAAAGTATTTGAAAACATGTAAGGATGATGAATATTTCCTATTTGAACATACCTCCCAATACAGGCTTATATCCTCATATGTGAATTCTCGTTTGAAACGTATGAGCAGCCACCGGAAGCAGAAATACATATTGCTACATTCTTTAGAATCTATGTACAGATGAAAGGTTTGAAAACAATGTGATTACTTGGCTCACCATACTATAGTCATGCTACAGAATGCAAATAACTAAAAATATTTACAAAAATACATTTAGTAGCACAAACACATTGTATGTATTTTTGTAAATGTTTTAGCTAATTGAATATAAAATTGTATAAAACAAATACCCGCAGCCACGAAAAAGTAGAAATTTCAGAAAAAAAATAAAGGATTTTACATACTGTACATAAAGTAAACAACTACTGTGGTGAATAAACACCCCGGTTTGAATAAATTTCCCCCCTCAAATAAACACCCTCTCAATAATCCTTCTCACCAACAAACGCCTTTGAGCGTTCATTTAAATAAGTAAGTAAGTAAGACAATTACTGTACAGCCACTAGAAAAGCAAAACAATTTACATACCTAAGTACACAAACAAATCTGGATCTAAAAACTGCAATAGGGTACTAAGCTGTATAAGCTGTTTCTTCATCCCAGCTTGGTCGAGGTCAAAATTGCTCATCTACATTTAACAAAGAAAATACACCATATTAGACAGTTTCATTCTTAGAGTAATCAAAACTGAAATTCATAAGCAGTGCATCTTCATAATCGATACGATACAAGAAGCTTTATTGCAATTTTATCATATAAAATTGAAGTTGAACAATAGACCAAGAAAACACAGTACAATAACATCACAAAAAAGGACACAAAATGCAAAATAAATAAAAAATTTCATGAAATAAAACAAAGCAAAAAAATTTTGAAAAGCTAAAAAATAAAGCAAAAAAGGGATTAGGCCTAAGAGAGAATAGAATGGGATATATTTACAATTTTATATACAATAATCTATACATGGTGATACAATAATCTATACATTGTGAAGAGTCCATGTACAACCATTACTGCATTGAGACTTGCAAACACTGATTCTGACTTGCATTATTAAAAAGATTATGAAATTATGACTGTTGGGTTTGTTTTGTTTGTTTAACTGTAAGTTTGAAACTTGTTTGTTATTTATTTTGCATCTTCATTAATTGTCAACAAAACACATTTGGATGGACAAAAGGAAATTTGTTTACCATTCCCGGTTGATCCATAAAACCTGAAAAACACCAAAATGCATCAACTTCATCATCCATGATCTGTAGGATTGGTGACAACATGTCACTCATACCCTGCACATAACCTGCAACAAGAGCATAAATTGTAGCTAAGATAGATTATATTTTTCCTGTGTTCAGTAGTGTGTGGAGTTTGAGTCAGTTACTACTGTTAATCAAAGTTATGCTTCAGCGAGCCTTATTCCGGGACATAAATGTGCAGAAGCAGTGAACTGGTTCATTTTCTATTTGTTGGCTTCTCTCTTGGTTTCAATACAGCTGTTCGTCAGTTTAATGATAGATACTGTCAACCTCTGACTAATTACAACATAAATGTATATTTTATGAACAGGATCAAATGATGTAATGGTATACAATAATAATCTACTTTCCACCTCAAGACCTTTGTACACTAACTTTCCTTGTCACGCAAAGATCATCAATTATTTGTTAAATTTTTTCCAACAACATTTATTTCATTTCAATATGGCAGTCGTAATATAAAATAACAATACTGTAAATTATTTCATCAAAAAATTAAAAAATTTACCAATATTGAGGATCTACACTAGAAGAAAACAGTTTCTTGTCATGTGTAAGACCCAGAAGAAAACAATAACGATATAAAAATAAAAAGATAAAGAATAAGTAAACAGATATACCTAATAAATCATATGACAAAATACAGAAACAAAGAGAATATAACAGAGCATCGTACAATGTACGATGACACTGTATAATGAAATAAATATTTTTTAAGGTCTAATCGAAAAGATTTAGGAGATTTAAACTTTTGAAGGGATCATTAAGTCTAATCCACAATCGCGGCCCGGAAACAGAAATAAAATATTCTGAAACTTTAAGTTAAACAAATGGTATATCATGATGCTGTGGTTTTCAGAGACTATCAGAGTTTGGACATACTGTACTATGCACTGGTAATTTATTAATGGAAAATTCAGAAATAAATGAGGTTGAATAAGCATATTGTATAACATGAGTAGAATATATTGGGGAAGATATATCACAATCTACTAAGTACACCAATCACTTCAGAATTGTTTTTTTTTATCCAACTTAAGTGCTCATGAATATATACACCAAGGAACAAAGTATAAACTTTTTTGCTCAAAGGATCTGCCTTTTATTTCAAGCTAAAAATTAGAAAGATCTATTTTTTATGTTGGGTGTGGAAGAGAATGTAATTTGTCTTTTGTGCATTAATGAAAATTTTGTTTGTGGCAAACTATTCAGCGAAAATTTGTAGTTCTGTGTTAACAGTATTAAATAAAACATTTAGATCTGAATGCGTATAAAAAATAGTAGTATCATCAGCAAAGGATATAACCTTTAGAGTAGCACTTGTTCAAGGAAAGGTCATTTTCCAAAATGAAAAATAAAAGGGGACCTAATACAGACCCTTGAGGTACTTCGTAGGTCACATCCCTCACTGATGATTTGCAAGAAAATTTGGCAACATACCGCTTGCGGTTTTTCAAATAGCTTTTAAACCAATTTAATGCAACACTCCCCTAATTCCATAATTAAATAATTTACAAATAAGAGTATTATGGGTAATAGCATCAAAAACCTTAGATAAATCTAAAAAATTGTTTATTATCGAAAGCATTCGTAATGTTATTATGTAAATCAAGAATATCATGGCATGTGGAATGGTTTTTTTTATGGTGAAAGCCGTATTGATGGGTATGTGGAGAATATTATATTTAGTAGGTAATCATAAAGTCGTTGGTGCATAAGTTTATCAATGATCTTTGGGAAAACGCTGAGGAGAGAAATAGACCTATAATTAGAAATTTGGTTTTTGTCTCCCTTTTAGTAGACAGGGATAACATAGATTTGGAAATACACCCGATGAAAATGAAAAATTAATAGAGAATGTTAGTTGATCTCATATACATGGCAATATTTGTTTAATCATATGTGGCATGACCAGATCATAACCAGAACCAAAGTTAGGATTTAAATTTTGGTCAATAAGCATGCACCAATCCAAACCAGTGTTTAACAAGTGTAGGTATTTAGTTGTCTAATTTAGACAAATAATTATCCTAATTGAATGCCATTCTTCTTCACTCTTTTTTTTAATTAGCTCTTTTTTCACCCTTTGCCACAGCTGTCCTCTCCTCTTGATGCTACTGATGGTAGGGATTCAAGCTAGGGTTCAGGTAAATTAAATTCAGAAATTACTTATTCATACCTAGATCAAAGTTATACTGGCAGTAGGTCATAAGATTATCATATAGCATCTCCAAGTGAGGGTTGTTGTCACCTGCATAGTAGGGGTGCATTCTGTCTGTACGCAGAACATCCTTATCTGAAAACAATCAAGAAAAATTGACAAGAGTCAAGCCAGAACATAATATTTAAACAACCTTTTTTTGATTAACTTAAATAAATTAGCAAATATTTAACAATATATATTTTCATATTCAATAAAAAAAAAATAGAATTAATTTTACCAACTACATTTCTTCTTTCTCGTAAAATTCCAAACCTTTTTTCTTGGTCTTCTGATATAGTCTTCCACTGGGCTTTCATACAAAAATACTCATCTCTAAAAAAAAATTATTAAACTATTGCACAGAAGACACAAAAACAATTTAACAAATTCAAATATCAGTGCTATATGAAACAGAGGATAATTTTCAATAACATTATAAATGGATTTTATTATAGGTGTAATTTTTGCCCTACCTGACGTGGAAATGTACCGAATACTCAGTACATTTGAAAACTGCGAAAAAAATGTATAGGTGTAATTTTTTTTTTGAGCAATGGAATCATTTATCTTATAAAACATTTATTGAACTAAATATAGTTTTCTTTGTTAATGTTATGTACATTTGCTTGCACCAGAAGGGGATTTTTATACACTAGTCTAACTTGTTGCTTTCAACAATCTGCATGATTTTGTAAACAATAGGTGTTTTCTGCAAAATAAATGAATTCAATTGGACAAAATAAGTCTAGTTTTTTTATGGCAGTTAAATAAGTTTCATTTTGCATTCAAGTTCAACCCACTTGGCTTACATATAATGAAAATAGCAGACTGTTCAATAATTCCCCCATAAATAAAAATGTGTTGAGTGGGGTGGAAAAGGTTGAAATTTGCACTGGTTGCCAACCCATTTAATGACCATGTGTAATAATAACATCGTCAGTGCCTTATATCCTTTGCCAAAATTTGCAGTATAAATTCATATATTGTGGTCATTATCACTTAAAAAAAAATAGCACAGGCAAAGACTGCTGTCAAGTCAAGATCCTGTATTCTACTTACTCTTTCTTTTTCCTGAGGAGCTTTCTTTCTTTGGTTGTTGAATTCCAGTCAAAATACCCCAAGAGAAACTTCCATGCTTCCTGCCTCAATGAGGCACATAATCCCTGTAAAGACAGAAAAACAAGATTTGAAGAATAGAGTGAATGTAATCAAATCCAGCAAATTTGCTTTTGAAAAGGATGAACAACATAGCAAATTAAATTTCATAAATGATGTGATTTTGTTTAATCTTTCGATGCTCAGAACACATTGTAAGTTCTGAAGCATATTTACTAGGCATAGGCTAGTATACCATTTGGCAAAATAAATGTACCTAGGAGGAACTAGGCATAGAATGTGATTGGCAAATAAAGAAATGTATGTAAATTTATTTATTTACTGGAAAATTGTGATCTGAAGGGGCCATTATTGTCTAAAAAAATTGCACTGGGTATTTCTTCCAGGCAGTAATATCTCTTTTTGGTCACTATTTTTCAACAGTGCATTAAAAACACACTATTTCGATTGCAGATGTACCTTGGTGGGTAAGATGCTTGCCTTCTAATGCTAAGGTTCTGGGTTGAAATCTGTAACAGCATTGGATTGTTTCTCAGGACTAAAAAACATCTTCACTCCCTATGCCTCATAATGAGATACAGATCTCCCTCTAATGAAAAACTCTTCCAATTAAATTCTTTAAAATTTTATTTATTTATTTCCATAAACCTCCCGAAGGAGAAGCAAGTTTGTACGTAAAAACAAAAAGTTTAAAAAGACAATAATAATCTATAAATACTATCTAAATCATTAATAAATAATAAGGACTTTATACTATCACAGATTCCATGATCAATACAAAAATTATTCTTAAAGTACAATTTAACATGCATACGGCATTTAACATAAAAAATGGATTTAATAAACGAAAAGTTGTCGGTGTGAGCAAAATTTATAACACGCGAGAGACTAACGTGAAGTTAAGATGAGACATATCATTGTTAAATGAGAAATTTAAAAAGTGTGTATAAAATGAATGAGAAGCAGAATTGCTATTAAAATTCTGGGCCATGAGGTCTAACTGAACATTTAACTATATTACTGACTTTTGGCAAGACCACCTCCAATTAATGACAACTTTTCAGTGATCCCAAATTAACATATGTCTTTTACCATTATTGTTCAAATTTAGAGACCATGGAAACCCCTGCCCCAAAAGTAGTTTTAACTGGAAGGAGACCTGTATCTATTTAAAAGGTCCCCTAAATATCAGCTGGCCTTCTTGGATAAGCTGGAAGTGTCACCCTTTATGAATATTGCTTAAAAAAACTTGTTTGGTATTATACTATAATAACTTACACCTCTGAATATCTTCTCTTTCAAGCCATCAACATCAACTATTCTACCTTCTGAATCCACATGGCCAGCCCATTCATTAGGGGTCACTGTGCCTCCTCTGGTCACTTCAGGCCTTGGACCAAGTTTTCTCTGTCAACAAGATAAATAATGTTATTGGCTTGCCTATTTTGTTTATGGTAGATATTATATAACATTATATAAACTGAATGTATATGTACTGCAGTACAGTGAAAATACTCATTGATTATCTTTTTAAAAATAATCTCCAACATTATGAATGATTGAATTGATTAATACAGTAAAATTAAGAGTTGTTTACTTACCTCAGCAATCATTTCATACGATGCTTGGTTGGCTAATGATGGTTCAATGGTCAGTCCTATCATATCAGGCATAAGCTCAGCATATTCATCAAATGGCCGGAATTTTTGAGCTGGTTGACCACTAAGAGTGTCTCGGACAAAGTTGGTCACTTTGGAGAAGCCACCCATGATGACAGTAGGATCTTTGAAAAAATTCTGAAAAAGGTATAAGTAAAATACAACTGCAAGAATACTTATATTGAAAAGCATAATGTATAACTTTTGCATATTTTTTGGCTTGACAAGATTAATGGAGGTCAAGTAGCATTGGTGATAGTAAGTCTTTGACGTCTTCCTCTGGGGAGAGAGTTGCAGTCACCAGGTATTGAGCACAAGATAAATTTGAATATTGGTTCTTATTGGTTCGAAAGGAAGGTCCGTCATATGAAGGTCCATCACAGGAAGGTCAATCACAGGAAGGTGCGTCACCTCTAATGCTTCAGTCTACCCAGCTGTATTATTGGGTACCAGCAAATTGTTAGCATTAACCTGTGGTGGACTAATGTCCCACCCAGGGGGAGCATCACACTCTTATCTATTTCATGTTACAGAAACTGTGGATAGGCTCCAGTACTATGAGCCCCGAAGCTCCGCCAGGATTTACTTCTGACATCTTTCAATAAGATAAGGATCAAGCAGTATGGAACTGCACTGCAATAGACCGATTCAGCAATGTTTGTTTACAGCCAGTCATGTGACATAATTTGGGTATACCATGGAAAACATAACAGTGCAATCAATGTGAAAGTATAATGTAATGTAATGTTATGTTTGCAAAAAACAACCACCCACTGTTAATGTGAGATGGCAGGGAAAGGCAATACAATTGTTCAAAAAATAACGTTTATTTTTACATATCCTAGCATTCTCCCAGCACTGTATGCTTTGAAATTTAAGTGATCCTTCGTAAATCTTAGCTAGGCTTAAAATCGCAGCGTAGTTTGCAGGTTGAAGACCCTCGTGAATACCTAAACAGGCTGTAGATGTGCAGGGGCCTAGGCCTAACAGTTGTCAAAAAATCTCAATGTTTGCGGCCCGTGTCCTTGAGAGCATCAGCAAAACATTACGGCAAAATTCCCAATCAATTTGGTATAGTTTACTGGGAATTATAACTATCTTTACAGCAATAACAAAAGATGGCCGCAGTAGCAACCTCCATGTAAAACACCATTGTGCCAGTCCATCGTTTACATCCAACACCTCAGTTAGGTCACAGAACACTCATCATCGAATCAGTCTATTAGACAATTAGTAATGTAAGCATTTATTCTCCATTTATTGATAATATGAAGATGTGATAGCTAAAGGTTGAGTTATGCTTACATGGACATAATTTGCTGAATGTTCTCCCAGCACTTGTAGCTCATCAATGGATCTTGTTAATGCTGCCGAGTTGTGAGGTGTTACTGTAAACAGACGTATATCAGTCGGACATCTGTAAAACCAAGCATGACAAATAAGGGGATTAGAAATTAGTACAAACTAAATAAATTATTCTCATTATTATTATAACATTGTTGCCTTATATTTGCATGGGTTGAAAGATATTATTAATTTCAAGGTAAGTTCCTAAAAGCATAATATTCATCATAAATGAAAATCACTGGTATGTGCAGCACTATAAGCCAAAATTTAAAACTACTGTATTACAATAATTCTAACAATAATGAACAAAACAATATCTTGCAGTAGGAGCTTGTAACAGAACACTTGTGGGGTATTTAATAAGGATCTATGTACATGATAACGAGGCACAGCTGTGGCATCAGATGTATCTGCACTGTAAAACTAACTAAACCTTTCTAGATATCATTCTAAAGGTAATTATAGAATATAATTATATAAAAAAAACTTTGTCACTTGGTTCGGGTTTCGTAAGAACACATCACATTTTATCTTGTGACAATCTGGTAAAATATTTTAAAAGATGATGATTGTAGCCTTGTACCTTGTTAGTGTGACATATTTTTCTATTTTCCTCAGCATAACAGAGCTTCCACCATCATGAAAGTGCAGGGCAGGCAGGCTGACATTATCATTGAGGGTAAACAATAGATAAGCCCAGCCTAAGTCTGGCTTAGATCTACGTATACTCTTTACATCATGTAGGCTAAATGTCATTGCATATTTGCTTTTCTTACGAGCCTGATGGACAGAAATATTTTCTGAAACACACAAAAAATGTTAATGTTCTTTCAATCAGTGCATCAATGGGTGTATGTGATTAACACATTTGTAACATTCCACATTGAGGGAGTTCAAATAATGTATATAACAGTAAAATTCTTAGTGTGGATGTTTTTATGACCAATTTGAAATTAATTTCAAAAACATTAATGTGTGTAAAACTGGATACTGCTCCATTTCTGACAATAAGCCATCTGCTGATTGTCGATGGCAGACTGAGGGGATTGTCATGAAAAAACTATCTGTTACACATAGGTAAAGGTAAAGGTAGGGTAAAGGTAGTTCCATTCTCTGTGGAATCTAACAGATGATGATCGTTGGCACAGCGTGTGCCCAGTTTAAGATGTAACACAGTCAAAACTCTACTAGTGAATGTGTAGGGATCATTGGATTAAGACTCGGTATATAGTATACTATGTTAGTATGTCACAGTACAATATGACACTGAGCAACCGCCTACCAACTGAAAAAGCTATTTATACTCAAGAAGGTCTACCTCCACAAGTTGGAAGAATTTAATTCTGGGAGATCTGCATCAGTGGATCCAGGAATTTTACTTTCAAAGGTGGTCTAACCTAGCCTAGAAAATTGAAGATTATGGCACCTCTACATGGCCGGAAATGGCACACTCAAGACTTAAATTTGAATATAATTTTTCTTTATTTTTTTAAATCATTTTGAAAAAATGGCTTGGGCAGGCTGCTCCCCACCCCCAATAATAAAATAGTGAAAACATGCAAATATTATGAATTTGAGGGGAGACATGCCATTTTCTGGGAAATTCTTGCTTGCTTGCGGGAGTGTGGGAGCTCGTCCAGATTTCCGGGAGACTTGGTATACTGTAGCTTAGATGTGGTGGCACTTAGCCGTATCAATATCTTATGTAGTGTTCCTAAATGCAAAGGAGTGTCATATGTAGTTGTAATATCATTGATGTTGTACTACTCTATTGAAGTTTAAAGGTGGTATACCAGTTTCTGCCTTTTTGTAGCCAACAGTATTAACTACAGTCCAGTCTGTTTCAGGATGATCATCTTCAAAGTCACATTCAGATAATGGATGCCAATCTATGAAAGCCCCTTCACTCTGAAAGACACAATAAAAATATAAATAAGTTCACTTTAAAATTAATCACGATTCTAAAACAAGGTTTCACCAAGGAAATTCAACAGAAGGACGCACATCTCGGGACATCAAAGGTTATAACTCTGGCATCGACATTCTAGGCGCATGTGCGTCCCTACACGCTGAACGTCACAAAAACCATAGCAACCAGACCATAAACCGTCAGCGTACGTGACGAATTACCCACACGCGTGTTAGTTGCCATGATAATCGCGCGTCGTGCGGTGATTATAAAGGCCTAATGATATTTTGCACTAACATTAGACTGAAAATATATTCTTCATTTCAACATTAATTTTACCAAAATTTTGCTGAATTGTCATTCATGAGACTCATTTCGCAGAAAAAATTAATAAATGTTCCGTATATACTCAAATGTTCGTTCTTGGCACCTTATGCCAACATGGTCAAAATTACAGATTAATGTTACATAAGTACATGAAATTTTATAAAATTCGTAAATTTTAAATTGCTATAACTTTTCATTTTCTTGGTCAATTTTCACAAATCAAATTGCAGTTTATAGAAGCATTTAACAAGCTCGCGGTAAAAAAAAATCAGATGTAACAGACATTGCGATGTACTCAAAATTAATAAAATAAAAACTAACACCATAAAACGAATGGCACGCATAGACTAATAATTGACGGCTGTAGTCGCAACTAGTATCGGATTGTCGATGCCACAGTAAAGATCAAAGGACTGTACGCACGCGCTATGTTCGAGGGCGGAGATGTGCGTCCTTCTGTTGAATTACCTTGGTTTCACAGAAAAAAAAAGGCAGATTAAACCTCTTAAACATTGATTAGGATATTCATTATGGAATAGTGCTGTAACTGGCAATGGCATTTTAACAAATGCATTTAAAGATATTCATCTGTTTAATAAATATGGTTTAGCATATTTGGTGAACTTTTTAACGCTACATGATTTACAACCAGTCTGAGTCTGCATTGTATACAATTGTACAAGCTCCTGATTGTGTAGTACCAATTTTTCAAGATTGATAAAAAAAAAAAATTGTGAAAGTCCACAATAATCAAAGCTTCCTGGCATGTTGATTTTACAGGCACACTGTATATATATTGCAAATTAAGGTACAGCATTTTGAGGAATACTGGCCACAATGCAGAATAGACTTGCTTCAAACCATGTTGAGTTGGATGTAAGCATAGATTTATTGATGATTTTTTTTGGCAGGTGCTATAATACCTAATCCCTAATTCTGCTTGAATTTTATTGTCATTACATACAGGCTACGGTCACACTAGAGTCTCAAGCCTGGCTTGACTCACCGCGGGTGAGATTTCAAGCCAGTCATCAACTGAATTTAGTTGGATTGACCTCCAAATTAGGAAAGTCGAAACAGGAAGTTAGAGCGCCGCCACCATCAAAATACCGGCCCCGGCATTGTTGCGGTTAGGATAATCGATGTAGATCATAGACCTATGATAATGGACAGTATATCGGATGATCTAGGCCTACGCTCGGATGTAATGGCAATGCTAGTTTTCGGATTGATAAGTGCATTTATAAACTGATGATTGCGTCTTTAATAAAATACACACATGAAGAACTTGCGCGTTTTTTATTCAAGAACTTCTAAACGCAACAGCGTCATCAACTGTGATTGGTCGCCAGCCAACGAGGAAATGTCAATCCCGGTCACGCCAGGGTCAACCCAGGGTCAATTTGGGTGCTGAGCCGCGATCGAAATAGGTAGATTGAGATCAAGGTCACGCCAGGCGCGAGTCGATCCAGGTGTGGTCACATTTCGAAAATCAGGCTTGAGACTCTAGTGTGACCGTAGCCACAATTATCTAATCAGAATTAAAAACTTGTTCAGAACTAGTGTAACAACAGGAGACATTGCCATTTTTTATTTTCTAGATACCCACTATATGTCACATGACCAGCCTAGCGGAATGTGTCTATTTCAGGATAAACTTATGCCTTACTTTATAAACTATATAGAGCTGGACAGTGGGGTTTGAACTCAGTAATTGGAAAGCAAGAATCATAACCACTACATCATCAATATTAGAACTATGCATTTCCTGGTAGACTATACTTTACCTTTGATATGAGGTTAACTTTTCCTCCAAGTAGCACATCATCTTTTCCTTCACCTTGCGTGGTATGTATGAACACACTTCCTTTTTCAAAAACAACCTGGAAATATAGATTAATTAAAGTCATTTTGTAGTATGAACACACTTCATAACGTGGATTGATTAAATTATTTCTGAAAATCGTTGCACAAAAGTTATCGAAATATTTTGTCATTTAGCAACACAGTAATGTACATAAAGCAAAGGCCGAAACGATGCTGGACCGAAACAATACTTGACCAAACAAAAGACTGAAACAACTCTACACCAAAACGACCCTACACTTTGATACGACCCTGAACATTTTGATAATTACTGTCTACTACTACCTAGGGAGATGCTTCGCCGCTTCTATAAAGCTCCTCCATGTCACCATAATCGCTAGACTAATCCTAAGCCTCAGCGTTGGCCATCGCTTTAGCATAGACCACCGGGTGTGGGCGGTTCTTTCTTCTAAAACAGTTTCCTTCTCTTAGGCCTAGGTAAATCGTCCCGTGCCACAAGAGGCCTAGCTACCTTGAAATAAATTTGTGAAATAAGTATCATCAATGAAAAAACATATTGAATGACAACTACGGTTGTGCTTACCTTAGAAAAGTCCTTTTTTTGGACTTGTGGACTGGAACTTGATGTCATTTGCTTCTCTTTTTTCGAGGCTTTTTTCTTAATCATTTTGATGTTCTTTACGCTAGAGTGCTGTGTTGTGTTGTTTTTTTTATTTTTATAGACTCTACCATTTTCGAATGAGGTCAGTGACTACCCAACACAGTGCTGATTAATCATAATGCACACGTGAGTGGAGTCACCGACTCATAATGATATTTTAGACTTATGACGGAGTTCTAGGGGACAGGCGCAAATGTTTTCGAAATTCATCAAACAAATATTTTACCAAACACCTATAACAAGAAAATCAAGCATTTCTCCGAGGTCCCCGGAGTCGATCCAGGGGCGCAGCTGGTATACGGCCTCACCAGACTCGCACCCCACCAGTGTCAGTAGCCAAAATAATTACACATGATTCATGATCGGCCAGTGACTTTCTCCCTTATGAATAGATAGGCCCTACCTCCATGATAATATATAAATTTAAATGAAGCATCTACAGGAGCTATTCTATTCAAATTTCTATTCTATTTTAGAAATTCAATAATGATTGAATATTACTACCTAGGAAAATTTGTATACTCCCATCGTCGCACCCCAGCTAGGGGCCAATCGCGTAGGCCTACTCTGAGAGTGGAGGAGGGGGTATTCAGTTTGCCTATTGTAGTAATCCAGGAAGCTTTTCCCCTGAAAGCTCCGAAGATTTAATTAATGGGCAAAGACTAAATTCTGAGAGTGAATGCAGAACATAATGATAAAAATATGTAGACAAAAAGGTACACAAACAAAAGAAAAAACACGATAGCCAAAATGGGCAGAAAAAAATATGATGGAGAACAACAGAATAGGCAGTGGCAAGGGTGGGGGCAGAGGAGGTGACAATCGCTTTCAACAAAACGTAGACTGGAGTTAGTGATGATAATAAAAATACCCCAGGCAGCTCAGGCAATACGGCAGACAGACTTTGGCTTGAAAAAGGCCTTTTATTTGTTTGTAAAAAACAAAATTGAATTTGTTGGGGACCCATTATGCTCCAGGGCCCCTGGCTTTAGTGAGAGCTCATAGTTATGACACTGGGTGCTATAGACCATCCATCTGCCACAGTTAAATGGGCCCCTTCTATTTAAAATTCCTGGGCATATTGCTCAGTAAACCTCGACACAGCATAATACAACAGCAAAAAAAGAACCCCCCCCCCAAAAAAAAATAAATAAAATAAAAAATAAAAAACAAAAACAAAACAAAACAAAACAAAACAAAAAACAATGGAAACGATACGCTTTAGATGTATTAGCCTGATGTAATCATTTTAAATGATTCATATATTATTTCACCTTTATCTATAACCTAACTGGAAAGGATATAGCTTATCTTTTTATATTTCTTTTTCCTTCTTCATCTTTTCTTTGGCTTCCATCTTCTCTCTTCCAACATGCGCGCTGCCCCTCTCCCTAAATTTTTCAAAAATTTAAATTAAAAAAAAAAGAAAATTATTCAAATTCAAATTTGAGAGAGCTATTTCCAGCCATCTAGAGGTGACATAATCATAAACCCATGGGGCTGAGGTGCTCTGGGGGACCACCGAATTGCGAATTAAGTCCCTCCCTGTCCCC